TTTCCTGCTCACAGTCTTATGTGGCTGCTGAAGACACCTGCTATGATTTTCTATTACTATAACAAGCACATGTGTGTGTGTGTGTGTGTGTTAGTCTCACTGATTTAAAAAAAATCTTTTAAAGAGAGACCTGTCCAATATAAAGAGTTTAAATTTAAGATCCAATAGAGCACATTAAAACAATAGGGTCAAAATCAAAACAGACTGCAAACATCATGTTAAGGCACCATCCAATATAATTATACATATTTTAGATTAAGTTATTCTGTTACAGCCCATCTGTAACATTTGTTGTAGGGCGGTACGGTATGGAAGTAGCCTGGGGAAGAGCTCTGCGGAGAGGGAGCTTTTTGTCTGCTATTTTCAGCAACCTTCAGCTGAAAATCGTTACTCAACTTAAGCTTTCCTGCCTTTCAGTGTCTGGTATTTATGGACAAAATGCATCAAATGCCGAAATGCTGTAGCCAGACCTCTTGGTGAGCCATTGCTTAGATGTTTATGGCTGTAAAGAAACCAGTTCCTGTGTATCGCAGTCTGACACTGTAATAAAAACCAAAAGCAAAGTTAGTTTTATATTGAAAAGTCAGTTTACCAGCTGTAATATCTTACAACCAAAGCAAACTGGTCAGTTTTTACTCACACAGGCAGTTTGCAGTCACAGGCAGAGACGTCCACTGGTCATTTGGACTCATAACTATGTGCCATATTTCACCCTGTGTTTAAGTCAAAAAAGGGTATAGCCATTACATTACTGTATATGTTCCTTCAGTATTCAATCGGTACTTTGGAAATGAAACAATATGCTTTTCTTTCAATGTATTCAGTGCTTGAAGTGGGTCAGTACTCACAGGTATGCAGTACCAGCACCTCTTTGTTTGTCTCTTCAGAGTACCGGCACCTCACAATATCTGCTGAGAGTACTGGCACCTGAGGCTGAATAACAATAGAATAGAAGCTTTATTGTCATTCTATATAAAATACACAACAAAACTCGGAGTGCTGCTTCTTTTCAATGCAAAACAAGTCAAATAAAAGAGGCAAGTAGCAAATATCAATATTTGGATGAATAAGATAAATAGAAAAGGATTATTATTAAATTTGATTTTGTAATCGCTAAAAACTAATATTGCACACAGATTATTTTTGTTGTTGTTCAGTGATCTTAAGGCCCAAGGGAA